TGTGCAGGCTACGGGATTACCAAGTCGTGCGCCATGTGCGCCATCATGCCCCCAGACGTCTTCCGCTTCGACTTTGTCGGGCTGCCCGCGCCGTCCATCGAGATCAAGGTGCGTCCTCGTCGTGTCACCGTCTACCTAGTTGCTAACACCCCGTTCCTATACGCTGTAGCTCTGCGACGTCCCCGAAGCGGGATACTTCTCCTGCGGACGACAGGGCGCGCCGGAGGAGCGGGGTGCGGTACAATTTTCTTCGTTCTTTGCGTTACTTTCTTCCTCTTGCTCTTGTTGTCTTCCCTTCCATCTTCCATCCTTCCTCTTGTGTTTTGTTTTGTTGGTCTTCGATCTTGGGGGACGTCCACTCCGACCTTGGCTCGGGGGCGGGCCTCGATTCTGGTGGATGATTGGCCTCGCTGGACGTTGCAAGCAAGGGAAAAACGGTGTCTTGGGCGAGCGAGGCCCATTCTTGCATCGCTGTGCTCCTTTGGTGCATGCCGAGTGCGGGCGCGATATGCCTTGTGTTGGGGCAGCGCGTCATCTGCTTGGTCGATCCGCTCCTGGCGGCCGGGTTCCTTGGGCTGGGAGCCAGAATGAGCCGTTTAGCTTCTGGCTTCGTTCTGCAGTCCGCAGTGTCCGGTGCCCAAGGCGCTACTCGAGAGCCCTGGACGCCCGCGTCGACCCCAAGGTCGCGGCTCTGGTGCTAAGGGAGTGCAACGTGGCGGGGAAGAAGGCGACGGAGACGCTGACCGCGGTGGTGCTGACACCGGATGAGTGGACGCCAGAGAGCGGGCTGGTTACGGCGGCGCAGAAAATCCAGAGGTCCGCGGTGGCGAAGAAGTTTGATAGAGAGATCAAGGTGCGCTCGTTTTGGTGCGGTGGTGCTGGAGGGATGCTGATTGTGTGGTGTAGGAGGCGTACAAGAACCGGTAGATGGAGAATACTAAATAGGCGAGACGCAACGTGGATAACTGAATCAATAAACGAAGGATTTCACGTTTTTTTCTTTCTTTCTGTTCTTTCTTTTTTCCTGCGTGTATCTTGCGATCGGGCTGCTTGTCCATACTAGTGCTGAACACGAACCTGTCTGCTACTCGTTTCTTCCGTTCTGGGAAGGATTACTCCGCAGGTAAGGGTCACAATTGTGACGATCTTCTGTTTGACCCTTGACGTGCACCGCCTAAAAAATGACTTGAGATGTCATGAACAGCATCAAGGGGCAGCTATACACTCTTCCTGGACCACTACAGCCATTACCATGAAATCCCTCGCTCTCCCCCTCACTCGCTGGTGGTCTCGGTCTGACAGTTCTCCCAACTCTGCAAAGGCTGCTCTACCTATGGAACTTTGGTACACCATTATCCACGAAATAACAGACAAGGACCTTCTCCGGGTTTCTTCAGTCTGCAGCACACTCAATGCCTTGGCAATTAGCGAATACCTGGCTAGACATGATATCTCCACAGTCGCGAAGGAGATTTCTGGCCCGGCCTACATCATACACCCCTTGCAGCTTTCCTGCATCCCGCTACCAGTGGAGCATCTTGTTTGCCACTTCCGGCCCTACGATGTCCGTCGCGATCTCTTGTCCCTGCAGCGGTTTGTCCCTCGGGCGCAGCGTTTGAGGGACCTCGAGCTCTCCTTTGCAGGCAGTCTACTTCACGCACACCGTAATGACCGCATCCCCATCGAGTACTCAGCCCGCGAGCTTATGAGCATCTTCTGCCGCGTGCTCTCTGGGATGGCGAGCAAAGCTGCTGGGCCCGTCGTCGTGGTGGGCCAGTTTGCAATGTTCATGTCCCGCGCGGAGGAAATTGCCGGTTGGAGGCTGGACGCGCTCCAGTTCAGTCCTCTGTCGGAGCGGAATACGCTCATGGCAAAGATTCGGGGCATTTCGGGCGGCCCGTCGACAACGATCACGTTGCGGACCACGGTGCAGATGTCGGGTACGCAGCCGGAACCCCTCACGAGGGAACAGGTCCTGGAGAACCTACGGACGGTCAACGTCTGGGTGCATGATGCACCCGGGGTTGATTACACAATGCTCGTTTCCAATATCTCTTCTATCACGCTGCTTGACCTTAATGACTCGCCTATCCCAGACGAACAGCTGGCTGCTGTTCTTCGGGATCTTACATTGCCGTACCTCGAGACGCTTTCAATATCTCGATCTGGCATAGATCCAACGGCACTTGGCGGTTTTCTCGCCCGACAACCCAGACTGCAGCATTTCACATCCTTCACTCGGAAACCCTCATCTCCCCTCATTAGCTCGCCGCTAGCCCATCCAACCCTTATCAATATGAAGGCAGTCGGCACAGAAAACATCTGCCTTGCCATGGATGCTCTCCACCTCTCCCCACTCCTCGAGACCTTCATGTTCTCATATACACACGACACGTTGAGCAGCCTGAGCAACCTTACCCCTGCCTTCCGTCTCCTCTCCCAGCGCTCCTTCAACGCCCACCTCGAGCTGACAATTCATGAGTCGTCCCCCAACTCCAACCCCTCCTCCTCCTCCTCCATGGATGAACCTCTTTTCGATGACGAAGCAGCTTCCACCGCGCGCACTCTCCACTGTGTCTACTCTGTCGTCATATCCTGCTCCTCAGCGGACATGGGCCTACGGATTCTGCCTTGGCTCGTCCTCTTCCTGCGCCTTCTCAAGGTGAAGTTCTACCTCAATGTTACGAGCAGGGACCCGCGTCCCGACGATCCTTTGGGGGAGGTTGAGTTGAAGAGGTTGATGGGTGAGGTAAAAAAAAAATTGGCACATGTTCCGAGTGTCAGGTAAGACGCGTAGATTATCACTAATAGGCTTCATTGATTTTATTGCAATTCTCAAAACTAATGTCATTCTGAAAGAAAAAAAGTTTGGGAGTTGCTAAAGGTCGTTGGTTCAAACCGCGCTGCCGACGTCAAATAATAATAAAGCATATGTAGGCAGGAGGTCCCCATGAAATAAGATTAGGTTTACTTAAGTTCTAGGCCGATTTTATCGCCAGAACTACTTAAGAGGCTGCTTAGCAAAACTTGAGTGCTATCTGGAACTTAAGTTCTATCCAAACTTAAGTAGTTAGCACTCACCGGCAGACGCGATGAATCATGGCTGCGATTGCGCGAGACCTACATAGCAATGTGTCAGTGATATACGGGCAGTCAATCAAACACCCACGACGTACCTCCAGGCTCTGAGAAGCCTTCCGCTGATCCCGGCGCACACCGACAACATTGACCAGAGAGAACCAACCCCCGAAAGGTGAAGAAAATTAGTACTAGTCATTCAGATTGCTGCATGGTACTTACTTCGATATCAAGCATCGGGATTTGGGGCAATGCCACCTGCAAAATGTGTCCAGCAGGGCTTGAATAGCCTCAGGTGATTACGGACCACAGCACCTAGATAACAACGAGGGTCCATGAGCTGCTTAGAAGGTTGAGGATGGATTGGTGGCAAACATCTCAGTGGCATGCTGGATGGTGGTGGTGCGAAGGTGAGCAGTGAAGGATGCGCGCAAGTCGAACAATGGAGTGATGCCATCAATCACTCGGCGGCGAGTCGGCTCAAGCGACCGAGGGCCGGCGTTGACTTTGTGATGACCACCCCTTTCCTCGGGACCACCACCATGTTCTCGTCCCCATTGCCGTGGCCTTCCTCTCACCTCTCACCTGCACCACTGTCTCTGATTGAGTCGGTTTAAGACCACGCGGCTCCACGCCAAGCTCGAAGAGTCGGTGGCAACTCAGTCAGTGGCTGTCAGTGGCAAGTGGAATTTAAATTGAGCCGATGGAAGAATACTCATCAAGGAGAATACTAGGAGTGATTAATTTATCTTGAGTGTGGATTCACAAGGTACGCTTCTCATTTATCTCAACGTGCACTGTAGAACTGAAGATGCTTACTTTGATTATAGAACTTGTGTCGACTCGCCGCAGAGAATTAGAGGCAACGTGAGACTTAAGTTCTGTCTATACTTGAGTTCTCGACTGACACTTAAGTTCTGAAGAGTACTGAAGAGTCCAGCTAAAGCCAACACCAGGGGGTCAGGCGGGAGGTATGTTTTATTGTCTTGTTCTATTGTGCGTGCACCAAAATTAAAGACGTGTACAGGAACTTAAGTGGATCGCGTACACTCGAGTTCTGGGCACGTCTTAAGTTCTCCAGTCCTATGCCCACTATGTATAAACTGAAGTACAAGCCAAAATCTGTCTCAAGTTCCCACATTTTACGGTCTTAAGCCTGTGTCTTGCGCATCTTAAGTTTGCTCATGACTGACAACTTAAGTTTTAGCAATGGTAGCTATGCACGGGCTATTCTATGCCCTAAAGCATGAAAATGAAACTTAAGTACTACAGGAACTTAAGTAGTGCTGGCGATAAAATCGCCTTAGAACTTAAGAAAAGCTTATGAATTAGTTGGGTCCCCGTTCAACTCGGGGTCGGGTGATTCACCTCCATTCTTCAGCTTTCCCCCCCTCCCACAATTAATTCCTATTTTCTCCCATTCTATGTTTTCTGGGGTATACCACAACTGGGCTCATATTAACATTCTGCTCAAGCAATTTTCCGCTCAAGATGAATGAGTTGTTTTGAACCGACTCGCAACAATTTGTGCTTGCCCTTGTTGAGGCTCAGAACTGGGTAAGAACACCTGGTAGCACATGGTGTGCATCTACCTTCCATGAAGGCCCTGTGATACACGATGTTGGTAGGAGGCCTCCATTCGACTCGGGGTCGGGTGATGTTCGCCGTAATTGTCAGAACTTTTTATATATATATCCTTCCCCTTGTCTTTCTCATTACTAATTGATTTACTCACCTTGCATGGATGGAAGTACCGCGAGGTTCATCGATGTTAACCGCTGAGTGCGGAGTGTTTTTTTCGAGGATCGTAAAGTAAAGTGCAAGTTGGGATGAAATTAGCGAGCGGGCGGGATGGTGTCTTTTCAACCACACCTAGCGCTGTTTTTGTTCACACCTATCAGACTTCAAAGCAGGTAGGAGGACACCTGATAGCACATGGTGTGCACCTGCCTTTCCTAGTTCGGTGAAAACATATGTAGGCAGGAGGTCCCGTTCGACTCGGGGTCGGGTGATGTTCGCCAAAAATGTCAGAACTTTTTTTCAAACCTTCCCCTTGTCTTCTCATCTATGGCGGTCGGAGTGCCCCTTTAATAAATCGGGAGTAAAGTGTCCGATTTTGGCCACATTTTGATGTATCAAAAGATGAAACTTGGCTGGATCACCTAATAATCCCACATAACAACACTAATTAGACATGTCATATAGCCCGATATGGAAAGCCTAAGGAGAGGTTCGAAAAGTCAGCCACCGCTCTGCGCTATAAACCGCGCTATACCTCGGTATAGCTCCGCGCTATACTGCGCTATATTGGTAGGTCGGGGACTTAGAGCTTTTTGGCTGATGATGTGGCGGTGTGCGCCCTGCCGACATCAGGCCCATCAGTGCGGTCATCACCGCGCTCATCACTGCGCCCGACACCGCCGCTGTCGGGTGAGAAAATGGGCAATAAAATACAAAAAAAATACATAATAAATGCGACATAAATACATTGATCAAGATGTGACAAGCGCGCCATCATGCGCCGTCCCCGCCAGCCGCCCGACCACCGCCTGACGTGCGCCTCAGTAATGCGCGCTCCAAAATCCACGAAAAAATCACCAATAAATCGGGGGTAAATGGGTGACCCCGGATCACCCAAAGCGCCGTCACGCGCCGCCCCGCCCCGCCTCGCGCGCCCGACGCGATGGCCGACGTCGGCGCGTCTCCCGAACCCGCCGTCCAAAAATCACAAAAAAATAACCAATAAATCGGGTGTAAATGGGTGACCCCGGATTACCCAAAGCGCCATCACGCGCCGCGCCGCCTCGCCTTGCGTGCCCAACATGATGGACGATGTCGGTGCGCCTCCTGAACCGAGGGCTCCTCATGACCCTTCCAGACTATATGAACAGGTTTCAGGTAAAGTCCCTGCCAATATGTGATGGGGAAATGTGAAATGGACAAATGCCACCTTTTGCTTATTCCATGGATAGGGCACTAAGAAGACCATATTTTGTCCTTCAGGCACCCATAATGGCCATGGACAACCAATTACTTCCATATTTTTGGAATTCTGTCTCAGATGTACGTCTGAAGTCAAAAGATGAACATAGTTTGTACTGTAAATATGTTAAAGCTCTCAAAAGCTTGACGCGTTCGCGACGAAATCAGTAAAACATTAACCTCATTTCTTGTGGATGTCAGGTGGACTCAATTATTTACAATATCATACAATAAGATTATCCAAGTCCTCAGAAAAAAAAGGGGCCTGTATCACAGTGGTTTGTGGGTTGAGGCAATATTTCCTGCTTCATCGGACTTGTATCCGAAGGTGTCGGCCGAGCCCTTGGACATGTCTCGGCTGCACAATTTTGGCTTCAATTTTGGTCCAGAAAGGATGAGAAAATTCGATTAAATTGGAGGAGGGAGGGAGGGATGTAAGATATCAAGATATAAGGAATGTATGTACTAGGATACTGAGTTTTGGTCTTGTTACTCCCCTCCGTTTTCTCTACTGTGCTTTTGACTGGTTGACGTATCCAAGCTGTTTGGGTTCTGAATTCGGAGGAGAGGAGAAGAGAAGAGTGTTGTTACCGGTACAGCAATAGAATCGACAAGCAAGATAAGTTGGGCTTCAAATTCATGAAGAAGAATGACAAAAGGGAGGGAGATTCACTGCCGAAGATGTAGAAGCCAGCGGTCGGGCTACTCGTTGTGTGTAACGGTGGGGTGGCTGCAGTTAGAACAAGTCTTGAAATGGGAGGGAGGGTCGGTGGATGACGCTGGGTATCTTGAGGAGAGGAGAACAAGATGAGACTTCGATGGGACACGCAGAGGACTTCATTCAAGCTTGCGAAATAGAGTTGAGATGAAACGAATGCAAGGACAGCGGCAAAGCTCCGAGTTCAGATCCGTATAAAATTAAGGAAGTGACCTGAACCCCATACACAGAGTCTGCCGTAGTTCCAAGTTCGGATCTCAGTCTCTCTGGTGGTTTATTGGGGTTCAAAGAGAGAAGAGGAAGATAATAATGAAAAAAAGATCTGCAGCATGGAAAAATAAATCCTGAACCCCATACACAGAGTCTGCCGTAGTTCCAAGTTCGGATCTCAGTCTCTCTGGTGGTTTATCGGGGCTCAAGTAGGGGAGAGGAAGAAGTGGGTCATGAATAAAAGAGGAGTGGTGGAAAGGAGAAAGAGGAAGTAGCTTCAAGTGGGTCTGTGTCACCTCATTGCCATCGAAGTAAGACACGTTAAAAAGGGGTCTCCAGGAGGAAATAAGGCCAGCAGATTGAAGGGTAAGTTGACCTGGGCTTAGGAGAGGGGTAGCAGAAAGATTGGGAGGTGAGGGAAGATGGATGCAAGATGGATGTCGTGGTGGCAGCAAGAAGGGCTCTAGCGCGATCTGGAGTCATGTGATGATGTCACACAGTGTAACATGTGATGATGTTGAGTTTTCTTCGAATTTTGAACCTGATTTTTTTTTTGGGTTGAAATGAGGGACTGTAGGACAGGCACTTTGTAGAAATTTAAGGATTCCGCTATTCTCAAATTTATCTGTATCTTACTTTCATTTTCTGACCCCTTTTCACTGAATGCCAAGCACGTCAATGCATGGGGTGTCCCGCACTTACCATTTTATGCCCGATTTTCATGGTTATTTTTCTGGGGATTTTGGGTGGCGGGTTCAGGAGGCGCACCGACTTCGGCCATCATGTTGGGCGCGCGAGGCGGGGCGGAGCGGCGCGTGATGGCGCTTTGGGTAATCCGGGGTCACCCATTTACACCCGATTTATTGGTTATTTTTTTGTGATTTTTGGACGGCGGGTTCGGGAGGCACGCCGACATCGGCCATCACATCGGGCGCGCGAGGCGGAGCGGCGCGGCGTGTGACGGCGCTTTGGGTGATCCGGGGTCACCCATTTACCCCCGATTTATTGGTGATTTTTTCGTGGATTTTGGAGCGCGCATTACTGAGGCGCACATCGGGCGGTGGTCGGGCGGCGGGCGGGGACGGCGCATGATGGCGCGCTTGTCACATCTTGATCAATGTATTTATGTCGCATTTATTATGTATTTTTTTTGTATTTTATTGCCCATTTTCTCACCCGACAGCGGCGGTGTCGGGCGCAGTGATGAGCGCGGTGATGACCGCACTGATGGGCCTGATGTCGGCAGGGCGCACACCGCCACATCATCAGCCAAAAAGCTCTAAGTCCCCGACCTACCAATATAGCGCAGTATAGCGCGGAGCTATACCGAGGTATAGCGCGGTTTATAGCGCAGAGCGGTGGCTGACTTTTCGAACCTCTCCTTAGGCTTTCCATATCGGGCTATATGACATGTCTAATTAGTGTCGTTATGTGGGATTATTAGGTGGGCTGGATGAACACAAACGTCTTGCATGCATAACTCTGTCTCTTTTTTGCGCACCTATATGGAATGTATACTGTGCAAAAAGTATTTACATGTTCCCTCACTAAATCAACCCGCAACTTCACCGTTTGGCCAGAAAATTCAGGCAACTTGCCCTCATTACAACTTCAGTGCGCTGCAACTTCCCATGCATCAATTTCACCCGGCACACAACTGAGCAGGACTACAAATGTGGTAAACAGCAACCTACATGCATTACAACTTTAGATGACTGCAACTTGAAGAACAAACGAGTTGGAAAAATGTAACTTGGGTCTTACGTGAACATAACTTTTGGATGACTGAGGATTGGGCCTCTTCGAGGCGGGTGCTGAACCTTTAGGTTCAATTTTTCTTTCCATGACCCTCGGCAGTCGGATTGTAGCTTTCTAATGGCAAAATACAAGCCGGAGATTTTTTTAGCAGCAATTGACTGAGGCGCAGAGCACTGCTATTCTTCTAAAGATTACAATGTCACCCTACTAGGATTACGGGGCCAATTAATACCCCATTTTTTTGCACTTGGAATCGGTCAATTGGATTTTTTGACTGAGGGCTGTCATCTATCGACCATAAGTGGAAAGGGTTTCTCATTTCGCGCACCTCGACCAAACAAGAAGTGCCGGTGATCTCGGCATGTCGGCACGACTTTGGAACACTCTGCTTCGTTCGAGGTGTTCATGACAAGCCTCAAAAGCCTCAGTGAATTGTGCAGCCTGTTTTAGGGTCACAAGCTCACAGGGCAATATCTTTAGATGAACTCTGCCCCGTTCCAAGTCAGACTGAAGACGACCTTTTTGAGTTTGGTTGTCAGTTTTGTAACTACATGGGGCCCGGGAGGCTACGGTAGCTGTATCTAATGGTGGTAAGGGAGGTACACGTTCTGGTGGTTGTATGGGAGCGCTTTTTTTTAATAGGTAAGAGACGGAAAGAGAGAGATAAAGGAACGTTATGCGATAATGGTAAAATTTTGGAAGAGTGGGATTCGTATCGGGGGTATGAAGATCTAATGGTATCGTGATGAGCTGGTATTCTGCTGGTGGGTGCGATGGTATATGTTATGAGAGAGGAAAGTGAGAAATAAATAAGATGATATATAATCGGGACAAGGAAAGGGAGATTATGAGAGATTGTATTGTAACTCAGCGTGTTTGGCCTTCGAAACGGGCAGACGCCTCGATGAAGACCGGCTGTGCCGAGTTGCAGTTCCCGGAGACCGGGCCCATGACACACAATATTTGGAGGGGCTCTCGTCAAGAAACTGGGTTTCTTATCATTATCCTCGCAACACTGGTCACCACAAGGTCACCGCAAACACATTTCATTTCCATCAATTTGCCATCCTGCCGGCTCGACTCCTGATCCGCCAACACAGTTGTGTCATTTGTCATTTTTGCTTACAGACCCTGATGTGGCCACGGTTTTGATGGCGCGCGATCCCTTGCGCAAGTTGGGGTTTTTCACTTGAAAAAGTCCCTGGAATGGTTTTTTTGAGGTGCAATAAACTGTTTGCACAAGTGTCATAATATTTCAGCGACGTGAGCTATTGCTACACCAATGCCGAACTCGTGACTAATATTGTCTTACTCAACTTGTTTGTACATGTAGCAAAAAATGGC